TAAACGCACCTGTCATCTACACTGTTTTCTATCTTCTTGAAAACTGAATGAGAAAAAAATACACCAAAAAAATGACGTTTTTCTTGAAAGCTACCTGACCCATGAATGATTTAATATTTTTTATTCATTTATTTTAATGGATTGGGGTACCAAAACCATCAATAGTCCATTCATTGATAACATTTTGAGAACATCCCATCTTTTGAACCAAGTCTCACTTAGGCAACAAATTTTGATTTTCGAATCAAGACCGGGTACCATATGATGAGGGAGATACATACTCTCAAACTCTTAATCCTCCAAATTTTAAGTGTGATAAATAAAATGTTAGACTCGGTTCAAAAATACTTTTATGGATAAAATCTTATTTTATCTTCTTTTCTTCTGTTTCTCAGGCATCACAGTTTAGAACACATCCTTCTCCAATAGTCATCCTCATCGCTTGGGAAAGTGCGCTCATTGGCCAAAAAATATCGGAGCTCGTGAAAACAATACAAAATTATCCGAAAGTTCAACTTCATCTAATTTTTATAGAAGATACAGAAACTGATGTCTTACCCACTGATTTAGTAAACGCAGTGCGATCCACTGGTGGGTTTTTGCATTCATTGCCTAAACCTTATCGCACAGAGATTACTGATAGATTGGTACCAAATGTTTTATTATTTGAACAACTGAATGTCATCCTCTCTGCTGTGGTCAAAAGTCCTTTGGAAGTAGATGACAAAATTATAGTGGTAAGGACATACTTTACCAATTAATTATAATGAAATGAAAACATTCATGTTTGTATCTTTCTAAGCTTACAAACATTTAACTAAAACTAATAGTTTGAGTGGATGTCAAGTACATAACAGAGCGATTTTTTAAATTTTTTTTTTATACAGCTAATTTATTTTCTTGTGCTCTTGACCTGTAATGTAATGAAAGGTAAAATTTTTAGTTTATAACTTCATTGTACCGCGATCAAAACAATAGACCAATAGTAAAAGTTTTTTTTTTTTTTTTTTAAAGATTGTGAACGCAAAATTCAAATCACATCGAAATTGGTAAAATTTGGTGACTCCGTCTCTAGAAATAGTGGGACAGTGTTATGTCCAATTTGAGTAATATATTTTTAAAAAATGGCAGATTCTTATCTTATGTAAATCTGTGACCTTATATAACTTTCAGAATGTGAATATAACAAGAGGAACTAGTTACCACTGGAATTTCAGCACAAATAAAGCAATGTAAATCGATTGCTAGTAGTTTTGAAATATCATTTAAGATTACAAAACAAAATATAAAGTGAAGAGTTCATTTTCAAAGTATATTTTATTAAAAAAAAATCTGTTTTCACGGGAAAATAATTTTTTTTTAAAAAAGTCCGTGTTTTGGTGAAATATTTTGTAAATGGTTTGTTTCAACAAAGAACAAATTGTAAAAGGTTCGTTAATAAGCTTAACCATCCTGTTTTTATTTTTCAGGTTTAGATAGAAAGATAAACCAAATTACGATCAAAATTAAACAATGTTGCTTATGAAAATAAATATTACGAAAAAATATGTATGGATTAAACTAATAGAGTAAAATGGAGCAAACACAATTTCTTATCATGACTATAACATTTTAAAGCCATTTTTTTTAAAAATAAACTATGAACAAAAACAGTTCACTATCGGTTTCAACACAATACCAAACCGTCATAAATTGTTATTGATTTCTACCAATTTTTTATGCATTCTGTCTTAGAAAGCATAATGAAATGTATTGTAAGTCTGTGATAATATTTTCTTATGACTTTTAAAAAATTTGCAACATTACTTTTTAAATTTTAGGTACATGAAGTGACGTACAAAACTGTCTCTTTAATAAAAGATACATTTTCTACTCCATCTGTTACTAAGGGGAAGTTAGTTTACACTATGCATTGTGACCTCAGAGGTCAAATAACTCGTGAGCCCAACTGTTCTTCTTGGGATGAAGAATACATAGCTACTTTTAAATGTGGAACTGTTACTGATTTAACAGATGAGTTGGTGGTAAGTTCTCTAGATATGTAATATTATACTTATTTGTAATAGTTACGCCTTACTAGTGATGTCTAAATGCTTCGCTAAACCTTACTTGTTACTAAGCTAATTAAATCTGCTTCATATTTATAACCCCTCCCCCATCCAAAAAAAATACCACTCTATCTGCACCTTTTTTTTTTTAATTAAATTCCATTTAACCCCTTAACGATCGGTAAATTTTCAAGAAAATGGTCATAAAAAGTTCCTATTTTTTTATACACGTATATTATACACGTATTTGATTAGTGCTGACATCTAGTTTAAAATAAACTATCTACAATTACCATAAAAATATCCTGGGACTGCCATCTGGTGTGTAAAATGAGAAATAAAATGCTTTCCGGGTAAAAGAAATGAATTAGCTTTATTCTTATTGGCTCGTTACTACTGAACACTCCAGCCCGGGAATATCACGGGAGCGAGAAATAAAGGGCGAAACCTCACCCCGTCATTTTCACGGGAGCGAGAAGTAAGGGGTTAATAAAGACTCAACATGCTAACTTTATAATTGAAAAATAGTGTATTTGTTTATTTTATCATTTGTAAACTAACTTATATAGAAATTATTTTTAAGTCGACTTCGGTGACGAGATTACTTTTAAAAAAATTATGGTTGTGTTTAAAATTAGTTTTTCTTTTAAAATATATTTAGAATTGATATTTCATAAAATAATTGTAATACTTAGTTTTACATATACTTAGTTTTACTTAAAACATTTATTACTATGATATCAATTTTCATTTCGGGAATCTTTTACCTTCATTTAAAAAGATCTCTTCAGTTTTTTAAAAGTGATATTAAACTTTTTTTTATAAAAAATATAAGTTTTGAATCCTACAAATGGAACAAAAATAAATATTGATTTTCTCTTAGCTAAAGAAATTTAAAATTGACGAAATATTTACTGCATTCAATAACGAAAAACGATTATTTTTGTCATTCTTCTGTACACGTGAACCACATTTTTATACTTGCGAGAGTGAAATTTTTACACTCAATTGTGACCATTTTCTGACGAATTAAAGCACTGAAATCTCAACTATAGCTTTGCACCTGACAACAAAGCTAGTGCGAATCTTTTCCTGAACGCTATAAACAAAATTTGTCTATCGCCAAATGGAATTTATCGGTCACAAGAATTTCGAAAACTTTCCAAGTAACTAGAGTGCTCAAATATCATATGGGACTGATTACAATACTAGCTTCAATCAGTTTATGACCGTCCATGATATCGCCAAGAGAAAATCTTGAACTTAAATTCAGACAAACTAGAGAAGACAAATCAATACTGCAGCTTCATAAGTGATGACAATAAAAATTTTAATCATTTCCTGATGGCTACAAAGTTTCCCCCTTTGAAGCTGATGGGACACCGATGTCTCTCGCATATATATTTTTTAAGACGCACTAATAACTATATTTCTAATTATTTAACTATATTACTAATTACTAATAAAAATGTATTTCGGTATTTTTAATTTTAAAAAACGGTTTAATTGTTGCTTAAAAAAATCTGTTAGACAATCGGAATTATATCTATCTTAACCAAAATATAAAATCCAAAAAAAAGTCTTTTGAAAATTCACACTCAAAAATTTATCAACAATTGATTTTGCAAATTAAAGACATTCCATCTATGAAACTGCTTTTCTTAAATCTAAATAATTGCAACTAAGTGCACATTTGAAAAAATATTGTTTTCAAGTGAGCGGTGATGGGAAGATTTTACCTAGCTGTATTACATAACTATAAATTATTTAAATGTAAAATAGGAGATTTTTCACTTATTATAACCTTAAGTAATACAAAATAATGGACTGCTACAAGCCAAGTCTATAGCCAAATAATAGCCAATAAGAACTTATGGTCAATCGATATACCATCCTGCTCAGCCACCTTCTGATTAATTTCAACTAAAAAAAAAATACAGTCAGGATATTTTACATAGCGATTATGTTTTAATATAAATATAAAAAAGGATATTTTATTATCTTATTCATTTCTCTCATGCTTCTGTTTTGACATTGGAGCTCTTTTAAATATACCATTG